AGATATATCTATATATTATATATATATATATATATGGGCCGAGGTTGGCGAAGGCACACCTGGTGCTCACAGTGAAAGCTGAGGCCTGGGGCGATCCCCTGATGGTGCTGCGATGTAATAATTAAAATTCTCTTGGTTACTAGCAAGGTAGTAGCTGGCTTAGAACTCCTTCACAAGCGGCAGTTACACTGAAAATAAATGAAGACACCGTAGTCACAGCAGGTCCCTGCTAAGAGCAAGTGGGGACCCGAACTTGCCCTCAGAGTACTTTTTTAACTCACTCTCGCAGAAAAAGAATTTCAAGATGCCTCCCTGTGAGGTACAGGCAGATTTATCAGGCAGTTCGAAAGTAAGAGGAAATGGGGAACCAACTTGAGCTTGAGCAGAAAAGGGGACACTGCTCTGATGGAGAAGAAAGGTTGAGGCAGGAGGAGCACAAGTTCCAGTCCAGCCTGTTAGCTCTTAAAGAGACCCTGTCTCAAAATAAAACCAAAATAAAATGGCAGGGGCTGCGGTGTAGCTCATCTGAAAGCCCTGGCTCCAATCTCCAACAGAGGCAGGAGGGGCCGGACTGGCCCGTCCACAAAAGCAATCAGCCTGTGTGGGTGAGCTGAAGTGGGCCAGCGCCTGCCTGCCTCAGCTCTGGTTTTGCAAGATGGCTCTGGAGACAGTCTTGCAGCTTGAAGGAGAGACTGGGTCTCTGTCTGGGGTAGTCCCAGCCTTCGGGAGGCTCCACTGGAATTCAAGGTGACTGCAAGTTTAGGGCAGTGGCTAGAGATTGCCATCGGTATGGGCATTGGTAGGCAAATGTCCCTAGAAATCTCTTTTCTTGACGTTCTTAGTCTTGAAGAGGGGTGAGATGGGTTATGTGAGTTTAAGGCTAACCAACCAACTTTGTTTTGCCAGCTTTTAGACAGATGTTCCTAAACAGCCTATATGCAGAGCTGGGAGGATAACACAAGGGGGACCATAGCTCTGTATGCAGAGTGGAGCAGGGATGTGATCCAGTTTTAAGGTAATAAAATGAAGGTCAAGCTTCATTCTGCTTTGAGTTAGCTACTGGGCATCTGTAGAATGTTTTGTTTTGTTGACTTTTTAGCAAAAACAGCTTTTAGTCTCCAACTATCTCTGAAGAAAACACAAATTATGCTTTAATCAGTGACAGATTAAGGGTTCTGTGGTCTCCGTGTCAGAAGGAATCCAAGAACATAGTCTAGAGAATCTCAGGACCCTTGGTCTCCTTCTCTACTTCAGAAAGCAGACGAAGGGCTGATATTGACTGATATTACCTGCCTCCATCCCATTTCCAAATTCCCTGGAGAAATTATTCAGCAGGCCTTGTGTCCTCTGAGTCCTATGGGCAGTGGCAAGTCAGGTGGCTCCTGTGCAAATATCCCTTGTTTTCCCTCTGGTGTGAATTCTGAGGAGAGGGGAATCGGGATTAGGGGGGATACCACATAAATGCTGCCCACCAAGAGGCATACCGAGCACACAGACAGTGACCCAGCCTCCCTGACAGCCAGTGCTCTCTCCACTCGCTGATCTCTGAATTTTAAAAACTGGATGGAATTTCTCACTCCTAATCAGCCCTGCTGCTAATCAAAATGGCAACCCTGTAAGTTAGCAAAAGACCACCTTCATCAAATCACTGTGCTGCTAGACAATTTTCATTCTAACCAACAAATATGTTCCAATATGCAAGGCACTCCTGGAGTTGTGCAGAGCAAATTCTGTACACCTTTAGCCTGGGCCTTGTGCCTAGCAGAGAGAAGAAAGAATCCTGGTGCTTCTCTGGGTGAAGAGAGTGAAAGCCCCAGGATCTCTCAGGGTCCCACAAAACCAGTCTCTTCCTTGTTCTCTGCTGCTGTCCCAAGGACAAGGAACACAGCATGGGACATCTGGCACTCTACCCTGAGTTGGTAGATGGACCTAAGTAGGATTTGACATCCTTGTTGGGAAGACTGGGTAATCCTGTCCTGGATTCATGAAGTGAGCTGGCCTGGCAAAGGAAGAGTGTGCGATCTTGTTACCAAGAGGTGAAAGCTGTGGCCTGCTTAGATGGCTAACGGGAGGTCCTTGGTGAGGGGCACCACAAAGCCCTGAGGCATAGGTGGGACGGGATGATACAGGGGAGTCATAAGTAATTGCCTTTACCACTTTGATTCACTTTTTTCATTATTTAAAGAATATTCGTTTCTATAACCAAACCCATATAAATAAGACTTTACTATTGAATACAGGGCATTTACCCCTGTACATATATATTTTTTTAAGTTTAACGTCTCTGGACCAATATGGCTGTTAACTTCTGTACATTGCCAACTCAACATGGTAAACTGGGATACTTTTTCCAAGGTTGACAGTACAGTTAAAGTTTTAAAAACGTATATTGGTAATATGGTGTGTTATGTATCAATAGCAACAGCAGCTTTTCCAGTTTCTGCAGTCATCTGACAAAATGACAAGAGACGTCCAACACACTGCATCTGCCTCCCTCTAGTGGCTGCTGGTTCTAGGCAATAATGCTTTTCAGCATCACTGGGCCCCAGGTCCCCTCCAGTCTCAGACTCCAACCTCCTTTCCCTTAACAGGCGCAAAGATACAATAATAGAAGAGTCATCTCCCATCTTATATTATTAGATAGCACTCAGACAATTTAGCAAACATCCTTAAAGACTGCTGGCAAATAGATTGATGACAGCCAGGAAGAAGGTCCTCCAGGGGTCTCGGTCTGTATTTTAAACGCCATTAGAAAGAAGGCACCGAAGGCAAGTCTGCCACACTTACAAAGGGTGCAAAGCCGAAGGGGAAGCCAGCAAGAGCTAGTCTGCTGCATGGCAGAGTCAGGACCTGTAAAAGCTCCTGCAAAAGCTCCTGTAGGCTGTGAGCACAGGCTGCTTCCACCAGAACTAGGAATTTGCAAAGTTATCTTTCTGTGTAAAAGATTCTGAAAGGAGACATGACTTAGTAGCAGTGTTTTAAAAATATATTTTTAAAATTTTTGGTACCAGGGATTGAACTTGGGACCTTGCACTTGAGAAGCAGGCAGTGGAACCACTGAGCTGAGTCCCAGACCCTATGGCCCTAGTAGCAGCTTTTAAATAAAGTTCTATGGATTTTAGTTGGTATAAAAGATGATTTGAGCTGGGTGGAGTGGCATACACCTGTAATCCCAGCACTCAAGAGGCTGAGGCAAGAGGATCACTTGAGTTCAGGAGTTTGGAGTCAGCCTGGGCAACAAAGTGAGGGTCTCTCTCAAATCAAAATATAATTTGATTTCATTGTGTGATACCTACATTGCTAGCTTAGGGAGTGCTAAGACTTAGTTATGGTTTGAATGTCTCCCATGACTTCTTGTGTTGAAATATAATCCTTATTGGGAGGTATTGGGAGGGCAGAAACAGTACAATTATGGTGTTTAGGGGTATAGTCTTTGACAGGTGACTACGTTGAGATCAGGTCACTAGGGCGGAGCCTCCCCCAACCCCTTTGGCACTTTTCACTGAGCTATATCCCTAGCTCTTATTTATTTACTTACTTACTTTTGAAATAGGATCTCACTAAGTCACTATGTAACCCAGACTGGTTTAGAACTTCGGGTCCTCCCGCTTCAACCTCTCAGACTGCAGGAATTACAGGACTGAACCACAATGCCTGGCATTGAAGAAAACATGTGACAAGGGCAGACAATGCATGTGCATCCCCTATCCTTGCCCTGTGATGCTCTGCCTCTAGGCTCTGCCCATGGGAAAGCTACCACCAGATGATGCTCCTAGACCTTGTACCTCCAGAACCAAAATAAATTTATTTCCAAGTAGCCTACCTCAGGTATTTCATCATAGTAACAAAAAGCTGACCAATACAGATGGCATGAGTGAAGGACACAGACCTGGGGCTCACCCTACTCTACACAAGTCAGTCCAAACCTGAAATATCTTCTTCCATTCTTAAATACAAACTCTTCAAGGAGAACAAGTGACCAAACAAGACCTGATGAATTCAACTTTTCACTCAGAGGAGAGAAGACAGAACATTAAGAGAATATGAAAAGATGATGAGTGATAATTGACTCAGAGTAGCCAGGAGAAGAAAATAATTCTTGAGGGAAGAATATAATAATGACCTTGAGAATTTTTTGTGTAAAATGTCTGGATTATATAGAATGTCAGTGTAGGAGACCCAGGTATTTCCAGGAGCCAGAAGTTATACTTTGCCCTGACAAAATTATAGCGCTCTAATGTGAAGGGAGGTTTGAGCTACTGTGAGCTACTGAGCTCCTGATCACTAGAGGCATCCGGCAAGGGCTGTGCAGTGGTGACCCAGCATTGAGGATCTTATAAAGGGAAACTTAAGTTTAGACTGACTAGTGGTGCTTTTCACCTTGGGAGTAATTCGTCTTTACCTTTCCTTCTTCCTGCCCCCCCCCCATTGTTTTATTTTTCCCTCTCATGAGAGTCTATGGAGAGAAAGTAGAAACACTCTAGGGCTTCAAAAGCAGGGACAGTGGGGTCCGCTCTGACATGTGTGATGTAGGGACAATGGCCCTCACCCCTTGTGTACCTGAGCATGGGTGAACAGGTTAGGTTCAGAGCAGCAAGACAGCATTTTAGCAAACCATGACTTTGGTCACAAGTCATTTTCTCTTGGTTCTCTTTTTAGGGAAGGTCCTGGTCAGTAGTGAGATGGGCATCAGTCGGTCAGCAGTGCTGGTGGCCGCCTACCTGATGATCTTCCACAACATGGCCATCCTGGAGGCCCTGATGACTGTGCGCAAGAAGCGGGCCATCTACCCCAACGACGGCTTCCTGAAGCAGCTGCGGGAGCTAAATGAGAAGCTGATGGAGGAGAGGGAAGAAGACTATGGCAGGGAGGAGGGAGCGGGTGGCTCTGAGGAGGGCGAGGACCTGGGGAGCACATTTGGGGCCAGAGTGCAGGACCTGACGGTGGAGGAGGAGGACGACACCACCAGCCACTCCAGCCACCTGAGCGGCTCCTCCGTGGCGAAGGCCAGCCAGGCCTCCCGGCCGCTCACCCTCATTGATGAAGAGGAGGAGGAGGAGCTGTATGCAGCTTGGAAGAGGCAGCAGGGCCTGCCCATAGGTGGGGACCCTCGGAGTGGAGAGGGCAGGGGCTCTGCGGCCTCTGGCCAGAAGGGGGTCGAGCATGAGGATGCAGATGAGGATGTGAAAAGGATCATCCGAGAGTGGCAGAGCCGAAATGAGAGGTACCAAGCAGAAGGGCACCAGCAGTGGGGTCGGGAGGAGCAGCAGGAAGAGGAAAGTGACACGGGCCCCCTCGTGGGGCAAAGACGCAGGCGCACCCTGAGCGAGAGTAGCACCTTGGAGAGCGTGAGCAGCCGGGACATCCGGGTGCTGAAGCAGCAGCTAGAGATGAGCAGCCAGAGCAGAGGTGGGAGGCGCCCCTCGGACTCGGGGTCCTCGGAGAGCACTTGGGATGTGTGGAACGAGAGGCTGCTGGAGATTGAGAAGGAGGCCGCCCGCAGGTACCACTGCAGGAGCAGGCGGGCGAAGGGGGACGCAGGCTCGGAGGCCGGGAGCTTGCTGCGACAGGACGGTGAGGACAGCGTGGCCTCAGAGGCCAGCTCCTTCCGTAACTTATGCAGCAGGAACGAGGAGAAGCTCACCGCCCTGGAAAGGTGGAAGATCAAGAGGATCCAGTTTGGATTTCATAAGAAAGACTCCGAGGCAGGGGAAGGCAGCAGCAAGCACGGTGCCGAGGAGGAGGAGGGGGAAAAGAAGAACCTCTCAGAGGTCAGCCTGACGGCCTACCAGGCCTGGAAGCTGAAGCACCAGAAGAAGGTGGGCAGTGAGAACAGGGAGGAGGTGGTGGAGATGAGCAAGGCGGAGGACGCGGCCTCGGCCAAGAAGAGGCAGCGCAGGCTGGAGCTTCTAGAGCGGAGCAGGCAGACCCTGGAGGAGAGCCAGTCCGTGGGGAGCTGGGAGGCCGGCAGCTCGGTGGCCAGGGGGAGCATCCCCCTGTCTGCGCTGTGGTCTGCAGCCTCCTCGGTCAGTGCGGATGGGGACAACGCATCAGTGCTCAGCACCCAGAGCCACCACTCCCACCTGTCCCAGGCTGCAAGCCACACAGGGCCACACTCAGCATCCACGCCCACGCCTTCCCTGTCTAACCTGCCCGTGGGGCCCGGGGACACCATTTCCATCGCCAGCATCCAGAACTGGATTGCCAGTGTAGTCACTGAGACCCTGGCCCAGAAGCAGAACGAAATGCTGCTGTTGTCCCGCCCACCATCTGTGGCAAGTTCCAGGGCAGTGCCAGTGGCCAGCTGCCTGGGGGATGAACAGGTGTCCATGCTCAGTGGACAGAACAGCTCCTCCCTGGGGGGCTGCCTGCTGCCTCCGAGCCAGGCCAGAGCCAACTGTGATGCGCAGTCTGTGCTGTCCTCCAGCTCCATGCCGAGCTCGAGGGCCCAAGGCTCTGGGAGCAGCGTCAGGGGGACCAGCAAGCCCATCTTCAGTCTCTTTGCTGATGATGTGGACCTAAAGGAGCTCGGCCGGAAGGAGAAGGAGATGCGAATGGAGCTGAGGGAGAAGATGTCAGAGTACAGAGTGGAGAAGCTGGCTTCGGACAATAAGCGCAGCTCTCTTTTCAAGAAGAAGAAGGTCAAGGAAGGTGAGGATGATAGCGTGGGCAACAGGGATGACACAGACAGTGCCATAGGGAGCTTCCAGTATTCCTCCCGCAGTAATTCCCAAAAACCTGAAACAGACACCTCCTCGTCCCTGGCTGTCTCTGATCACTATGGAAATGGCAGCAGAGCTGGCAAAGACAGGGATAGCAGCATTAGTAAGTGGCTCAGTGGCCTAGGGACAGAGGAAAGATCTCCTCCCCAAAGTGACTGGTCTGGAAGCTCTTGGGGGAAGTACACCAGATCGTCCTTGCTCCGGGAAACTGAGTCTAAGTCCTCCAGTTACAAGTTCTCTAAATCCCAGTCACAGGAACAGGACACCTCCTCCTCCTACGAGGGAGATGGCAACTCAGTAAGAAGTACCTCGAGGTTCTCTTCTTCTTCCACCAGGGAGAGCAGAGAGACGCACAAGTTCTCCAGGTCCATGTTCAGTGAGACCTCAAGCTCCCAAGAGGGGAGTCCAGAACCCTACTTCTTCTGCCGGACCCCCGATCCCTCCCAAGGGGAAGAGTTCCCGGAGCCCCAGCGTCCGAGTTGGGCCAGGCCGGGAGACTGGGAAGATGTGGAAGAGTCGTCCAAGTCAGACTTCTCTGAATTTGGAGCCAAGAGGAAATTCACTCAGAGCTTCGTGAGGTCTGAAGAGGAGGGAGAGAAAGAGAGGACAGAAAACAGAGAAGAAGGAAGGTTTGCATCTGGGCGGCGGTCCCAGTATCGGCGGAGCACCGACAGGGAGGAAGAGGAAGAAATGGATGATGAAGCCATCATTGCTGCCTGGAGACGCCGGCAAGAAGAAATGAGGACTAAGCTGCAGAGGAGGAGGGAGGACTGAGCTGGCCAGGCCAGCTGGGAGACACTGAGCACAGGAGGAGGCTGTACAGCTTAGCACTGGGCTCAGAGCACTACTACCCTTCAAGGGATGACAATGCAGAGAGGACTTTCCACAGGGGCAGACCTGAAAGTGCCCAAAAGAAGGGGACCGGAGTGCAGTCAGGAAGAGGAAGAGAGAAGAAGAGCCATCATTGTGAGTCCAAACCCTGGACCACCTGACACTGTTTTTGTTGCCCAAATTTCTCCAGGTTTTGGTGTTTCTCTTATGTATTTGGTAGTGTCCATCCTGGGCTGGAGAGGAGAGCTTGACAAGAAAGACTCTGTCATGTGCTGGAGACTTTAGCTTACATACAGGAAGGCCATGAATGCAGGATATGGTTCTCTTAGCAGAGGTTTTATAACAAGACCTAGAAAACAGCCTGTAGTAAATCTGACCTCTCCTGGCAATGTTTAGCTCTGGTTGTTTCTTTTTAATGTTTTGCCCCTTTATTAAACTGGTATGCTGTCAATACTTCCTTATTCTGGCCACTTTTAGTTCTTTGGATATGAGGGGAACTTGCTTTAAAAGAAATGAGTGGGTTTTCATGAGCCAGCTTTAGCTTGTTCTGCAAGAGCCGTGCCTCCAGACAATACCATCGTTGCCTCATCATAAAAAATAATAATGAAGGATTTAGACCAGGATACAATGCAGCAGGAGACCATACGAACAAAACCCTTGAGAGTAACAGAGGAAGTAGAGAAAGAGAATGAGTTTTATTGTGATGAGAATGGGAAGATATAAGGTAGAAAGAAGGTCCCTCTGGAATGGCAGAAAAACTAAAACAGACCATGGAGGAGAGAACAAGAGAAGCCAGATACAAGGAAATGGAGATGGATGTGTGATAAAATGTAGCAGCTGTTCTTGCTTTTATTTCTTGGGAGATCACTGGACGGGCTACTTGATCCTTCCTTGAACGATGAATGGAATAAGTTGGTGAGAATTCTCTGCCTTTTGTTCCCAAGGCATCTCTGCTCCTTATGCAAGGTTGGGCTGCAGCAGGAAGCAGACGTATGTTGAGCACTTTACAAACCCCATTAGTGGGCCAGGTTCTGCAATTCTTTACCAGCCACAGCACCTTGCAGGATCTGAAGACAAGCACATGCCCAGAAATGTCTTGGTCAATCAAAAGAATCCAATCCAGGGCCAGGGATTTAGCTCAGTAGTGCTGCTGCCTGCCTCACAAGCACAGGTCCTGAGTTTGCTACCCAGTACAAAAAAAAGCCAATCCATGGACACAATTGGCAGTGAAAGATTATAGACAGGGAAAAAGATAAATCTCCAAATGGGACAAATAGAAGCAATAATCATGTGGTCACTTTTTCTAAAAACTGTTTTGGTGGGTGCAGTGGCACACACCTAGAAACCCTAGCACTCTAGGAGGCTGAGGCAGGAAGATGGCAAGTTTGAACCCAGTCAGAGCAACTTAGCAGCCTAAGGAGACCCTGCCTTAAAATAAAAAAATAAAAAAGGGTTGAGGATATAGCAAGGGCTCTGGGTTCAGTCCCGAGAGCTGCTAAATATAAAATAAATAAATAAATGCTGAGTCTATGGCATATGAAGATCAGACAAACTTTCTGCATGGGCTTAGTTCAGTATCACTCAGTTCAGTAAGCTCACAGATAAAAATACCAAGGCCAGAGGGAGCTGACTGGAGTACTGCAAACCCAGAATTGCATTTAGCTGCTGTTGAAGCTGCTGAATTACTTTGCTGGCCCTCCCTCCTTAACTTCAGCACACAGTTGACAGTTCCTGGTCACACTCCTCTCCCCTCCACTGACCGTGGGAGAAAGGAGCCTTGGAGAAAAACATGATCAGCCTCATCCCATTCCCCTTCCCTTCTTCCTCTGTGCATCTTTAGTTTACCTCAGACCCTAGTTTCTGATCTCCGTGGGTCAGTCCCAACGTATATGAAAGTGGCACTCTAATTGGTCCCATGGCAAGAAGGGTAATTGAGGCTTATTTTACTTTCTGGGGAAACTCAAAAGATTCCTCTCATTTTGCTCCTGTGGGGAAGTTTCTGATACAGGCAAAGACACTGCATCGGGGGTCCACACTAGGTCAGTCTCATGAAGGGGAGAATGAGGATGTCACTGGGTCAGCCTCTGTTCCTGTCCCTAAGGGACCAGTCCCCCCCCACTAACAAATTATATACATCTTCTCGTGGCAAGGTAGACAGATTTTAAAAGTAATTCCCAGTCAGTCTCAATTCATATTTCACTAAATGGATGTTTAAGGAACACTGCTTTGAAGGAAAGAAAACAGTAAGAAGATGATCTGCCCCCATTTGGTTGAGCTCTCAGGCTACAGGAGCAATAATGGCTCCCATAGCCAACATGAACACCAGCTCAACTCAGGACAAAAGGAAACCAGATAGGGGTCAGGATCAAGTCACACAGAGGTGCCTTTGCTTGCTTTGTCTCCAAGGGTAGCTGTATGGAATCCTTCACTTAGGAAGCTGTCTGCCTGACAATCAGGATCCTGATTGTCCTAGAGTTCAGAGTATATATGTGGAAACCGCATCAGTGGAAATTATGTTTGATTTATGTTGAGCTTGAAGAAGCGTCTGGGATTTGAAGCATTAGAATCCTAAGTGTGACTTCTGAATGATGCTTAACCTAGGATGACAGGTTACAACCCATAGTTTCAAGCTCTAATGACATTAAAAAGTGTACATCAGTTAAAGTCCCCTTAGGATACAGATGGCATACGCGAATAACAGACAGGTGTGGGATGCAGGGACTAGCTGCAGAGGCATGGGCAGGGTTAAGGAAGTGAGAAGGAGCAGTCAGGTACCAGCTACAGTAAGAAATCGATAGCAAGTGACACTGCTCTATGGCTGAAGCAAAAAGCAAAGAAGCTGTTCTCAGAGTTCGGCAAGACTCATAGCCATGGGACAGGGGACACCTGGCAACCTGGTAGAGGGGTGGGAGGAATAAGTATCCCAATCTTTTTCCCTCTGTTTTTTTTGTTTTGTTTTGTTTTGTTTTTAATCTCATGACAGTAACTTGGGTAAGCAAAAGCTAACTGGAAGGCGGCAATCAGAAGAGTCTGGGAAAGGACAAAACATGGGTCAAGAGAGCTATGAACACCAAGGCCAGAGTGTTTACATGGACAGTGCCTTTCAAAGAGAAAAACACTAGGCACTGAATATGAAATCAACCCACTCTTAAGAATCAACACAGGAAATAGTTACAGCTACACAAGGCCATTTGAGACAGTGATTGTGTTTTACAAGAAAGTAAATGAGGAAAATAAATCTGAATCTACGACCTTTGTCCATTCCCATTACCTAGTTACCCAGCGAGTGAATTCTAGTTCACCACATGAAAACTCCCATAATAAGGCAGACAAGTGCACAGAAAGGAAGAGTATGAATTCTGCACCAGATTTTGAGGTGGGGGATAGGTAAGAGGGAGAGAAGAAAAATCAATGTTTCTCTTTACCCAAAGGTGAGGTCCTTCGGGGAAAAATGACCATGTGGCAGCTGTGAAGAATCAAAGTGGATCACAGTAAAAGCCACACCCAAATTAGGGTAATTCAAAGGGGCCATTTCATAATGAAGCTATTTGCAAAGCTGTTGGCAGGGTATAGGGAAACCATAAGGCATCATGTGCACCCCAGGGCCAGGGATTGCCCCAGAAGCCAGGCAAGGACCCAGAGGAATTGCCCAAGACTGTGTAACATGCTACTCCATTGTCGATGCTCAAATTCAAATCGAGACGTGTGATGTCAGGGCCCACAGACTGCAGAATAGTCAGTATCTGACAAGTGCTTAGGATGATGCCTGGCACAGAGTAATATTTTGCATCCTCTACCATATTGTAAGTTTTAAAATTGCTCTTGTTTTGAAAGCATATAATTATTTTTTTATCATTAGTAAAGCCTTTATTTTTGCTATTACATACAAGATTAGAAATGGTCTCTTCTCAGCAAATTGCATCCTTTGTTATAATCAGGGCACATTTTAAAAGTACATTTTTTGACAGAACTGTACCAATAAATCATTTTCTGGTGAACCCCAGTCATCATAAGTAGTCTAGTCTCTAAATTTTATTAGTTGATTGTTACCATTGCACTAATAGACAATCTCCACTCTCCACAGAATAAAACTAATGACTGTAGATCATTTTCTAGTTCAATTTCTCTGCCAGGCTCTAAAATTAGAACAAAGGTAGAGGCAGGTGATTGGGATAGGTCTGACGAAGCATGTGACACGTGCTGCCCCCGTAGCAGGTCACTCTTTAAGCTGAACAAATGTACGCTTTCCAGTTAGAATCAGGCAGCATTAGATAGAGATGGTTCACTAGCATGTCTTGTGTGGGAGACTAAGCTTGACTTTGCATTTTGGGGGCCACTTACTTTAGGACTTTCATAAGACAATAGAAGTTCTGACACAGGAACTTTGAGGAAATGCAACAGAAGTCCCTTCAACTTTGTTTATTTGGGTTTTTTTTTCTTTTTATTGAGTTTATTGGGACATTCTAGGTATACAGTACAGTTACATTCATTACTGGGATCTTGTACCTTTACATGACAGGTCTTGGTTCTCATTTCTTCCCCTTGCCCCTGCCCTCCCTTCACCCCCTCCTCCCCTCACCATTTGCAAACATTTTATTTCAATTTTTTAATTTTCTCATATTTTTTTCTTTTCCCTTATTCGCTTTCCCCTACCCTTCCCACTTTCCCTACACCTTTAGCCCTTTTCTTCCT